GATGACGAGCAAGCAAGCACGCTGCCGTTATATCGAGGGAAAAAAACCCAAACGTAAATTTTTCTCGTACGAATAAAAAATCGTTTCCTTCGGTTACGTATCATTGAGATGATAAATGAGGCTGCCACTTTGCAAAAGTTTTTATTAGCGATATTTAGCATGAATATTACTCGAATAGATTCGCAATTCGGTTGTCGACTTGGACGCGTCGATAGACATAGCATCGTCTTCGCGTCGATGATTAGACTCCTCTCAAGGATGAGAGAGTTACATGTTATCTGAAAGATCTCGAATGTAATTGCAATAATACATACTTGCCGGCATCAATAGCAAAGTGTTTTCCGTCATATTTAGCTGAATTGATTGAAACGGAGATTTAAAATAAACGTGAATTAAGTATGAATTACCTGAGATTATATATTTTTCAGAAAAATATTCGTGTGTGTTTCTAACATTCATGAGAAACTTTATTTAAATTTGTTTCTAATGAGAAACTTTAAAAAGTGAACGGCTTAAATAGAAACTTAAGATAAACGTTCTTTTTTTTTTAATCAACGTCATATTTTAAAGTGTTGCAACATGTCTTGCAAAAAAAAAATCCAATCTTAAAAAATTAAGATAAATACTAGATAATGAAAAATTACGATAACATCCAATATGGATTCTAAAAATGTTTGCGAACGTTTATCTTAGCGATAAATCACTAATTATAAACGTAATTAATAACTTTTTTATTTTTATATACACAACTTCCGTATTTGATTTATAGGATAAAAATTATTTTGCAAGATTTTAATATATCGATATCAAATCTATCAGTCGGTGTTGTGCAGAAGCGAAGCAAAACAGGCCTCAGGTAATTAACTGTTGCGGTAATGTCCGTCAACGTAGAGAGGCGATGCAGCAAGGAGGAAGTTCTCCTTGCGCCATTAAGAGCCTTTAAGGATGTTGGCAGGACTGAGGTGAAATAGGTTAGAGAAAATAATCAAAGACTCGTTTATCGAGACGGTTTCTCGATTCCGCACGTGTGTTTAGACGTTGTATACGCGTGTGCGAACGAAATACCGACGAAGAAGGGAGAATCTCTCGCTCTTCTCAACCATAATTACCGATACCGACTAATTGCTAGATAAGCGGCTGCCCCTTCTACGTGACTGAACCTCCGATCGACTATATCGTGGTCCGTTCCGGTACTCTTGTTGCATTGAAATGCGATCGGCGCGCGAAATCTCACACAATTTCCAGGATGAGAGATATTCACGGTAATATATTGCACGCGTAACTTTATTGCGTTATCGGGTCAGTGCTTCGGGATAAATAATCAAGACAACAAGAAATCAACGTATGAAATATATATTGAGATATATTGCTGTTCCATAATTGTTTCTCTGAATACTTTTACTATTGCACTTATTTTTATTACACTTTCCCAAAATATGAATGAATTAAAAAAAAAAAGAATAATCCATGAGAATAATAATTACCCGATTGATAAAATAATAATAATTATTATTGTCCTTCCTATAATATATGTATATATCTATTCTTATAATTTTATAAAAAGTAAAATTTTTATTAATTGCTAATTAACATGAATGATTCAATTTTCGAAAAATATAAAGTAATGTTTCTCTCATTTTCTTCTTTAGAAATACATGTCAAAAAATTAAAATTAAAAATAAAAATGGAAGCAAGATTTTGACTCGCATAGGTTTTATTTTCCGATTTTATTCTTTCCCATTTAAATGTCATACATTTACTATGTACTTTATCCTTTCTGTTTTTTTACAAAAATCTTTTGAAAAGAAGAAAAAATTATGTTCTGTTTTGTCTCTGTTTGATATAAATATTGCTTATTTATCTTGTTTAAAAAAAATATTATTCATTTCAATCTATTATTTTAATTTTTTCAATGAAAAAAATCTTAAGACAAATAATTACAACATTTTTAATCAAATTAGTGTCCTTGTATTGTTCACATCATTATCGCTTGAAAAAAAGAAACAAACATGCGGAAAAATATGCGAGATATCGAAGATTAATATAGCATCCATTGGAGAACTTTTTTTTCAGAAGAAACTAGTTTCACGGCATCTTCACGCATATATTTCTCTACCGGGTGGTACTTTTCATTCTGTATATATACCGATTGCAGTAAATTTATTCAACATATTTATTATTAAGTATAGTTATCTTTTCTCTACTCGCTAAGAATAATGTTGAATGTAAATTTTCTTTCTAGTCCGATTTCTATAAGCCAATTCCATAAATAATTCTAAACGAGGCTTATATAATTATGGGATGATATTTTTCTCACGTAGATATTTGGAGAAAGTTTGACCAAACAGTCCTGTTGCTGATTTGTTCCATTTTAATTTAATATTTTGACTGTCAGCTTCTATATCCTTACGATCGCACGATCTCTTTCAACAAATTAATTTTTTGTGGCAGCTCATCGCGTATATTTTTATTTTCTTCAATTATTTTTTGTAGGTTTTCTTGATCTGTTTGAGATTTTTATTTGTTTTTTGTACACTTCTTCGAGGATCTTTTTAGTAAATAATTTTTCTATTTCCTCGAACTTTTGTTTTATCATTTTGTATTAAAAAAATTTCATCAAAAATATTGGACATTATGTATTATCATGCACATCACAACATATGTTTGCATAAATTTGTAGCGTTTAATAAATTATTATATTTCAATGTCATATAAGAAAGAATAAAATCATAATTTATCCTCAGGATATTATTTATGATTGAGATTATAGTTCTTATTAAATAGAATTAACAAAAAGGAAAGATGCTTATTAAATATATAAGAGAAAAATATAGTTAATAGTACTATTATTTTTATTTTCCAAGTTTGTTTTTTCACTTTATGTTATATCCCTCTCGCGAGAGGATGTATCATTTATACATATATATGTATATCTATAGGATGTATCATTTATACATATATATGTATATCTATGTGAATATGATAAAGAAGGGAAAAGAAAAGAGAGATTGATTATATTACTATTGTGATCTTTGCGGAACCTTCAATAAAACTCAAATTAATCCCGCAACAATATCGCTCTCTTTCGCGTCATAAACATTAAATGTCTCTTCGAGGTAGCTCAGATTTGTCCAATAATACATATTGGACGACAGAAATCGCTATCTCGCCATAACTGATAAGCAGCGTCATCCATCATAAAGTTGTGTATGCGTGTCTCAGCTTCGCGCGAATGAAATCGCGACCGAACGACGGGGAGTCGAGAGGGGACGTTGCGAGGAGAGAAGTTCTCTTGAGAGCAACGATATACTTCTTCTGTGTTTCCCATTAGTAGATACGATAAGTGCGTAATTGGACTGAAGCGATAACAACGCGGACAAATAAATTAATTATGACGCCGAGATACGGATGACACTTGTTTTGCTTGGCTTTGCGTGCCACGAGCCGGAGACAACAACATTACAAAATTCTAATTACGAAATACTTGCGTAACGCGACACCGGATAGGAATAATTATTACTATCGCGAATCAGATGCGCAATTGCGCTCTCTCGATGGTCTGATTCATTCAACTTCTGCAAATGATAGTATTTACGTCGACTCGATAACAAAGAATACGATAAAAAAAAGAAGATATGTGTCGATGTCCTTTGACATATCACAGAAAATGCTAACGTAAATTATTAAATTTACACTACTAAAAATAATTTCGATAAATTGACATAAATTATAATAAGAACAATATAAAATACTTGGAGTAATAAAATAAATCGATAATTCGTAAAATTTATAGCTTCGTATTTAAAGAAGCAAATTATTTAATTTCTTTCGAGTCATATATTTCGTGTAATAAAAAAATCAGAATGTTTTAATTAAATATTATTGTTATCTTAATAACTTTTTATAATTACGAATTCAATTTTTTACGGTTATAATTGATATTTAATGCAAAAAGCAATAGTTAAATAATGTTTCATATTATTGTATGTAGCATGTATTGGAAGCATACTGGCAAACATTCTAAGTGTCATTGTTTAAATCTTATTTCGTACACGCATTGTACATTTTCTATGATCTCAGACAGCACAAAAAGACAGCACAAAAAATGACTTAAAGACTTTTAAAGATGTCTAGAGAACTTTAAAACGTCTTTAAGTCATCTTTTAGATATCTTTTGGACATATGTGCTGTCTAGAATTCCAATGATTTTGCATGGTCGATAAAAAATGGATGGTAATTTTCACGAAACTGAAAGGGTTCATGAAGTTTAAGCTACCACCTAAAGCGCGTGGATGATTTAGGATCGTTAGTATTCAGAATGAACTCTTGAATGGAGGATTTCAAAAGTAATGTTCGAGAAGTTCTCTTTTCTCAGAATGGGCGGAACAAAATGTTTTCAAGACAAATTACTAAATAATCTGATACAACTAATTAACACCTACAAAATCGTTAAGTTTAAAATATCTTTGGCCTATAAAAACTAAGATCTACATTAAATATAAACATAATTAAAGCAAGATTAAATAAATATCTTAAATCTCGTTAAGCTTTTTTTTGCTCAATGTGGCTTCATTCGAGATTTATCTTAACTGTTAAATATATGAAATACTTTATTTTCTCGAAAAACAGCGCACTTCTTTTTTTATTCAGCTAAACAAATGTTTCAACGATTTAAAACTAATGTCGCTTAACTATCTCGTTAATGTTAGTATATGTAAATCCTAATAAATTACGAAAATAAATTATGAAAATCCGAGGAAAATTAATTCCAAGTAAAAATATATCGCAATAAACGAAACTAAATTTCTGCTAAAGCAACGTAAATCGTGCAATACATGTAAAATGCTCGACTAAATTTGTAATAGTACAATCTCTCTTTTGATAGCATACAGTACTAACATTAATTCTTGAAGCACTCTGAAGAGCATCCGGGATTATATGGCTATTATTTTCTTTCAAACTACCAAATAAACATTCGAGTACGAAGGAAGGACACATACCTCCGGGAAATCTGTGCGGAAAGATTCTTCCGTGCCTCGAGAGCAACCAAGGATACAGAGGGTAGCTATCTCTGGGTGGTTGATGGGGGTGAGGTGGTGGATGAGGCCCGCCAGGGGCACCACCGTGCGGGTAGGGCCCGTGCGGGGGTGCGTGAGGTGACGCGCCGTGATGCGCCTGGAGCGCCACCGCGAGATTCGCCGCCTGGAAGTGCTGGGCCGCGGCTAAATTCGCGGCCAGGGCCAGCTGCTGCGTGTGATATTCGTTCTGGCCGGTCTGCGGATTCGCTGGACCGTGGCCGGGTAAACCGTACAAAGTCTTCAGCTGCTCGGCAGCCACGGCGGCGGCAGTCGCGGCGCTGGGCGGCGGCGCGAGGTAGTTGGGGCTAGGCCTGACCACCCCAGGGGGTGGTTGGGGGTGCGTACCGACCGGTGAGTCCCCGTGCGGTATCCTGTGCGGCGGACTGGGACTGTTGTTCGGGCTGGAGGCGTCGCTGTGACTGTGCACGGTCGTCCGGAGGTCGCGGAAGTCCAGATGCGTCGCCGATAGATTGTGGTGATGGTGCGGATGCGGATGACCGTGATGATTGGTACCATGATGATGATGATGGTGACCGCCGCCGCCCCCACTCCCGCCGCCCCCGGTTGCGTGCGACGGCGTCCGTCGCGAGTTTGGATACGACTCGACGGAGGAACTTCTGGAGACGGGCCGGTCCGAGCCCTCGGAATGAACACCGGGTGATCTCGCGGCGATCCGGCGCGCCCGCGGCGACGACGAGCCCTCTATCTCCATCGGGCTGCCATCGTCGCGCTCGACGATCTCGAGCAATCCTCGGTTTCGCTCCAGTCGGTCCAAACGGTCCGCCTCACGGTCACCCTGTCCGCCGCCGCCGACGATCGAGTCGATGCTGAAGCCGATCTTCGGCTTTGACGGCACCGGGACGATTGGCGTCGGCGCGAGCGGCATCATCGTACGATTATCGTACGCTTCCTTGGTGGACAACCCACTGTGATGGAACCAACGTGACGCGTCTGCGTTTCCTGAATTCGTCCGAATTAGATCCGCCGCATCGTCGCGGCCACCTTGAGGCCGTCTATCTCGGATCGATCGAATGATCTCCGTCGATGATGCCACTGATTAAGTGTCTATTTGATTATTATTCTAAAGTAAACTGTCCAAGAACATGCTATGTGATATATATGTATGGAAAAGAATGCACGGTACGTTTAAGTTTAGATGATGAAATAATTTAATGAATTAGGAGAGACTTCCAGATGTATTTACTTCGGATAAACATTGTCAATTTATCACTGCGACACACTAGTTTCTCGTTCTAGAGAGGTATTCACATCATAGTTCATCAATGTCTTTTCTTGTTGCACCAGTTCCTAAAGTATCACGCATCACCAAGACAATTAATTCGCGAACTCGTCTTTCCTGCTTCTAAATCACCTTCATTTTAGGATAAACCTTCCTAGCATTTTTCATAAACATAGAATTATGTTTTCAATGTTGCATTTCATGCTTTCTTTATACTTTCAATTCCCATCAGATATTATAACTATAATAATGCTGAATGTTCATTATATATGTATTTCTGACATTCCATCTCTTGGAAGGGAATTATTTGTATTAATATACACTTGCGATATGTACATGAATACAATCAGACTCAGCGCATTATATTTGCACCTCGATATTAGAAATATGCGATACTAGAAATATAAATACCGTTAAAACTTTACATCATTGTACTTTTGCCACAATGATTGCTACGAATATATCTAGGCTTGTGCCACTTTTCACTATATACACTCTTGTTTATTGCCCTTGATATATTGAGTATATTGTAATACATCGGAGCATTGAGACTTTCGTCAAGGTGTACCAGATGATCATACGTCAATCAATTTAACCAATCCAACCTACCGTCGTAATCACGAACGCCGTCGCACTGACTGGAGTCTCACAGCACTCACTCGTACGTCACGTCCGGCACTCTCCATCGACCTCATTGACGGCAAGAAAAAAAACAAGACGAAGACGTCCTAAAGTCTCGAAATAGGAACACACGCGTTTTGTGAAATCCGGCTCTCGGGAACGAGCACCGAGCACCAGCTCTGACGGATGTTTCTGGCGCGAGAGCCTGCTAGTGTTTGAGCAAATTACGAGCTAAACCGTGCACTCCCCGTAGTGGGGATCCAGATCCCACCATCGTCGAACGCGATACCCTCTTGGTGTGGAAGCGGGTTTTGCGCATATAGTGGGGGACCAGAAAATCGACCATGAAGATGGGCGGTTCTCGGTATTGCTCGGTGTTGCTCGACGTGCTTGGTGATGCTAGGCGTGCACCTTGAAGCTTGATATCCGATTGGTTGGTTCTACCACGATGCGGGACCAGCAACGGGTCGTCATAGTTCCTGCGAGGTATGTAGAAGCTGCAGTGGGGCGACATATTAGTCGGCGATGGGCGTTAAACTCGCGTTTTTATCGTGCGATGAAAATGAGTCGTTTAATTAATACGTCTGGCTCTCGCTCCCACTCGCAACCCTCTCTCCCCCCGGTTACCCGCACCGCGACTTACCCTTTCTCTCTCTCTTTCTCTTCCTTGTCGTCTCCTTCCCGCGGGAGAAACGAAAGAAGAGGTTTCGTTTGTGGGTTGTACGGATTCCGCATGTTTCTTCTCTCTTTTCTCGCTGTTAGGGAATAATGAAATCTCTCCTTGGAGAGATGACAGGTTAAAAAAAAATTCTAAAGAGGTCAAAAGATTTCAATTAACAATACTGACAAAATCACCTCGGAAGAAGTTCTTTTTCATTGTATAATAATTGTGTAATAATCCTTTCATTGTATAAGCTAACCTGCCTTTTTAAGACTAATAGAAGAAAGATTTGCAAAAAGATTTGTATCTGTCCTGCTATTGCTTCGTTAGTATTAAAAATTTTGTTAGTATTAAAAATTTTATTAGTATTAAAATTTTATTAGTATAAAAATATTATTAGTATTAAAAAGAAATTGTTTTTATCGCAAATGATTTAGTCGTTAAAAGCAAAACAAATTATTATTTCACTAACAGATGACACGAATTATAAGACTGACATGAATTATAAGATGAGCTGAATGTAATTTTAATACTAGACAAAAAGATTATAATGAAAAAATCTATACTCTACAAATATAAAATAGGAAAAAAGCGAAAGAAATTTATGAACAAATTTTGGTACACCTGTCTTGGATACTGAAATTTCTCTAGATTTTTTATTTCAACGTGGAAAGAAGCTTTAAAGATATTATTTTAATAAATTGCAAGCGAAATAAAAGCATCTTTCAAATTGTGCGCTTGGAATTTAACTTTCTATTAATTTTTTTATAGATTAATTTCAAAGATTGCGGTCGGTAAAAACTAGCTGTTGAGTTAAATGCGATACAGAAATCAGATGAAAAGATCATCGAACAAAAAGATGATCACACTGTTAAAGAAAGAAATCGCGCAGAACCTTTCAAATCTCGATAGTCCCGAGTCGATTGGTAGTTATGATCGTTAAAGATCAAATATCTGTGTGATACTACAATTAACGGAGGACCTAACGGTAAAACGATATCGCCGTATAGTTTGATAGACGTAATTGTGCAATTAAGACAAGTCAGCCGACGGCGCCAATTGACGCTCTTGTCATGGTATTGAAAGAACTCGTGGATATCTGCTGTCAACTGAGCGAATACTTGATAATTGACGTTTATCTTTTTGAGCGATGTTTAACTATCGCTTGTAATCAACGTTAGGAATGCTCGAAATCATGCTAAAAATGAGGACGAAGATGACAACAAGCGCACGACACAATACATTGATTGACGTTTATACAAAATATTAATTTTTTTAGCCATTTCCTTCTACTTTTTAAGTAATAATAGATATCGTATAGTAATCTTTCATTCATTCTTAAAGGTTCGATTAAAAATTTCAAGTTTCTTTTTTTTATTTAAATAGAAATTTGAAATCTTGAAGTGGACATGTGTAATCATCAAATTTTTGCCAAAAGATATTTGAATTTAATAAGCTATCTATCGTTAGATAATCCATCGCCAGATGTGGCAAATCTTGTAGTAAAAGAACATAGTTTCCATAGAGATATTTTAAATATAATTACTTGTCAGTTAGTGTCACTCAGTTTTAAAATGCTGAATATTGTTATTGAAGGAATATTATTATTATAGCAAATTGTGCAAATTGCGTTCTCTGCAAATCGATAGCGACTCGCTCGATATGTTATAAGAAAAAATATTCCATTATGACGATGGAGCGAGGTCTATCAACGACAATAAATTCCGTGCTAAATCACTACGTCTAATCGGAGTTAGAACGAATCAATCGACGTATCAAACGACGATGGATCGGAGACGCTCGGTAAACGCCATATCGCGTGAGATTGGACGCACTCAATCATGAGGCCCTCATCTCGCCAGGAATAATCGATTAACTTTTAATGTTACATATGTTCGAATGATATCAAACGGCATTTACAACGCGCGTGAATGTAGACGCTCTCTCAGATTGACGATTCGCGTCATTATTACTTTCAATCATATTAATTTAGTAGCGCGTCTCGCTGCATAAAATAAATCAAATAATCTGCGCGCATTTTTAATTATTATAATACTATAAAAGAATTTTTAATTATTATAATACTATAAAAGAAAGAAAAAAAAATAAAAAATTAATATCTTGCAAATTTTTCTATAATTTTTTTATAATCGATTCAACTCTATAAAATTATCGGGCACATTTTTAATTGTCGCAGAAAAATACGGTGGAATTCTTTCTTGTTTCACACAAAGAATACTCTTTTTTTTATTTTGAGAATACGTTACAATGGTAATTCAAATCTTCAAAAAAAAAATAAAACAAAATAAAATACATATCCCAATAAATATATCCGCGTATCATCCTGCGATCCATCAGGGTTGCTTCAATTAGAGGAGGCTGCGCAGCGCGAGTTGGCTTTCTGAAATTGCATCCAACCCCTTAGATCCTTGTATATATTTTTTTTCGTCTCCTCTTTCCCCCTCGACCCCTCGTTACGTACAACAAGCGACCCCCATGGCGGAGCTGGTGAGACTCGATTTCTCGCCCTACCGAAGACGGCGCGTGTGGCCGCGACAGCATGTGTGTAGGTGCTCCACACGTGAAGCAAAAGTGGGGGTATTCAGCATGGCGACTGTGCACACATCGTGCACAACGGTGCACCAATGCGCGAGCTGCCCGAGCACGCCCGTTTCAACGACTCGTCGTTTTCTTATTTTCTCTCTAGAGCCCCCTCGATCTCCTCTATCTTCTCCTTCTGGTTCTTCTTCTTCTTCTTCTTCTCCTCTTCTCGTTCTCTCATCGCTTTCCTCGCGACCGCGAGATTTTCTCTCCTCCCGTTCACCCCTTTGTACCGAAATTGAAGCTGTTCGCATTTCTCGAAGCAGCTGAGAATATCAGTTATCGATGATGATATTTCGTCAGCATAGAGATTATTGATAAGAAGAAAGTTTTTTTTTTTGAGAAATTTGATTGATATTAAACTGGCACATTTTATGTTTATATGTTGATCATTTTTCTGATAATATGCAATATTAAGATAACTAGATGCATAATGATAGAATTAATATATCGACGAACTATTGTTAATTCCACATAATACTTCAAATATCTCTTCTTTCTATTCCTGAATAGAAAATGAAAAAATAAGGTAAAACTTTTATACTCCCCACAACTGAACTTTCAATCCATTATACTTTCTTTCAACCCTCTCCTTCGACCCTCCCTTATAGATAGAATTGTGGCACGTGTAAGTCTATATGTATGTGTTTCTCAATAGCTCCAAGATTCTAAGACATTTTTTTTATAAAATATCAAACTTTTTAAATAATTTTCAGTTTGATTCAGTTCTCTTTCTTCTATGATCGAGAAACCGTTACCGAGGAGAGAAAATATTCGTTTACAAATATAAAAAAAACATTGACTCTATTTGAAAAAAAAAGTTAGTTTCTAGGATTACATGAAAAAAAAATCGCAGAAACTGCTCGACAAATCCGTTGATATTTTCCGTTAACTAGCAAGAATCGTTAGATCGCCATTGTCAGAGGGTGAAAGGCAAAGGAGTGATCTAGGAAAAAAGAGAAAAATAACGGCCACTGTACAATTGGCGATTGTGTCGGTATTGTGCGTGCTATTGTTTGATAGCCCCAGAGCAACAATGGATTTCCTTTATCCGCGCGTTTTCTGTCCGATCCAAGTATTCCACGACCGATTGAAATTGACCCCTTTATTGGCCGCGTTTCCGCGTCGCAAACAAACGGAGAGATTCAATTTTTCGTTTGTATGTTGCGTAAAAAACGTTACGTGCGAAAGAATCGAGTTTCTGATATTTCGCAAATAAATACAATTGAGATTTATACTTCAAAAATGTGCGCTTTGGGACGGTTTATTTAAGGCATTTATTAATTACAGCTTTATAATGTTGAAAAATTTATAAATATTTAATATTTATAGAGAAAGTCGATTAAATTAATAGACTAAATCTTACTTTTGGACAATTGAAAAATAAAAGCGAAAATAAATAAACAGAATTTTCGCTTTCAAACTAAATCAGTGAAAAATTCACCAATTAAAGTGACAAGTTTTCACCAATTTTTCAGTGAAAGTGCTCACACTTTGTGCCTCCATTTGCATCTTATGTTTCACTGAATATGATAGCAAAAAATTTCACTGAAAAAATCAGTCATTACTGATTCTTTTCAGTGAGATTTCACTGATTTTCTTTCTCAGTTCTATATTTATACTAAAATTACAGTTTATTATATATTACTAGTATTTATAAGAAGATTTTAAAAAGATTTTACAAGATATAATTATGAATTAAAGAGACGAAGCCATGCAAAAATGAAGAACTGGACATCTTTCTTTCAAAATAAATTTCACATTGCTCGACATTATCAACAATTATGCAAACCGGTCGGAGAGCTCGGCGATTTAAGAATCGGTCGCAGGCGATAAAGGCTCGTTAAAGTTGCGTAGAAAGGATTAATTTCCCAGGATGAGCGGCTTCTCCCCCCTTCGCGCGCGCGTTTCGTCTGTTACGCGAAAGAATCGAATGTAAT